TCCTGCTGATCCATTTCCCATCTTTAATTCTGCCTGGAGGCTGTAAGTTTCCCATCCTCTAGGAACCTCTGATCTTTAAGGAAGATCTACCCTTCTTCTCAAGCAATAGTTAAGGGATAAAGTTTAAGCTCATATCCCCTTTGACTTGAAGGATCTTTCATATTTTGCCTCTGTTGAGAGGAGGAGATGAAACTGCAGAGCTTTTTCCTGCCAGGACCATCAGAACGGTAGTCATGATCATCTCTTACTAACTGGGAGAGGGGACCCAGCTCAGTGGCAGCAATGTGCTCGGGGAAGGGAGGAGGAATGCAGTCCTGGTGTGGAAAAGGCTGAGGCCACTCTATTTATAATTAACATGAGCTTCAGTCTTGTTGGAACCTGGCACATTCAGAGCCTGCAGCTTCAGTCATTTGCTTGACTCTTTCCTCTAATTCCCACTGCTAGGTATAAACAGATTGACCCCAGCTCCTGACCATCCAGGCAGGAGTTCCACCCTCCTAAACATTAATGAACGATCCCTGCTCTCCGTTGGCTGATTCGGGCTCCACGCAGCGCCCTTTCCTCCGGGTCACTCTTCGGTTCCGGTGGAATTTGGCATAACAGCGTAGCCCTACGGAAAAGACACGGATAAGTGAGCGGGAGGGACCGGGGCTCACTACAGCAGTAACATCAAACAACTAGCTCTCGGCCTCAGTTCATGACAAAGCCCGCTGCAGTTGGGACAGTCCCAGGACTGGGAAGCCTGGGCTGTGTCAAATGAGGTAACAGAGAAATGCCTCACATGGGCAGGGCATTTTGCTTTCTGGGAGCTGCTATTCTGTTTGGCTCACTGTTCTGGTTTGGGATTCATTGGCTCGGGCAGAAGGTTTCACTGGCTTCTTGAAATACCAATGAATTATCCTGATTGTTTCCAATGATTTTATGGAAGCCCTGCTTGGTTTCACCCTATTACTTCCCATTACTGTCTAAGTGATCTCTCCATTGGGAAATTACTATAGACTTAATGTGCAGCAGCAATGGTTAGGGAGCTCCCCTTGCTATTTATTTCCCTGAAGCTTTAGGAAAGGAGGGAGGAGACTTTGAACCTTATTACTGGAGGTCTGATCCAAAGCACACTGCTGATCTCCTTCAGTTTCTCTGTTTTGGATGCTGGAAGTGCAGAGGCTGAAGGAAGCTATCTCATACAAAATTACTATAGACTTAATGTGCAGCAGCAATGGTTAGGGAGCTCCCCTTGCTATTTATTTCCCTGAAGCTTTAGGAAAGGAGGGAGGAGACTTTGAACCTTATTACTGGAGGTCTGATCCAAAGCACACTGCTGATCTCCTTCAGTTTCTCTGTTTTGGATGCTGGAAGTGCAGAGGCTGAAGGAAGCTATCTCATACAGCATTGATGAATATGGGGGGGGGGCGGGGGGAAAGGCATTTTATCTGTAAAACACTTCAGTACACATTCTCCCATGGCAGTGGCTGGCAATGGGAGCCTCTGGTCAGGGTAACTCATTGGTTTCTGGCACTGATACATTTATCTTTTAGTATTTATTGCCCGACTTTGTTACACCAGAATGCGTAGCTAGTTGGGCTGGAGAGGGTACAGCCTACGTGTAAATAATTCTCACAAAAGCCCTGATTTTCATTAGCCCAGGATCTGATCACTGGGGCTGGCAGGAACTGATTTGATCATCCTCAAAACTGCAACTCTTTACTTCCAGAGCAGGCAGCAGATAGCAACAGTGCCAGCACCTCTGGAGAGGAGGAGGCTGAGGACTTAGAGCTTTTATAATGAGACAGCTCATAAACTGTCCTTGAGTACTTGCACACAGGAGACTTGACGATGTCACAGGTCACCGAGCAGCCTTTTGGAGTGCACATCCCTTGGGCTATGTTGAGATGGCTACCCAGAAGTTGGGTTTCTGCCCCTCATTACCAATGCCCCCAGGGCATCTGGCCTCCCAGAAGAACAGCACACAAGATCAGAGCTCTGCTCTTATCTAAGCATCTTGTCTACCTTATCTGGACCTTACATCTCTGGGGACCTTTTTAAAGCTACAGAGGATGCACATTTGGTATCAACTTTTAACTAGCTTAAGTATAAAGCAGGGCCGGGGGGCAGCCCTCGTTAGGCTTCCAGAAACAGTTTCCTAAGCTAATCTATCAGAACATTGTCTCTGATGAGAATCTTCAAGGGTTACATGACACACCCAAGGTGAAGACTATAATTTAACATTGCAACTCCAGGAGAGCATTCTGTTTAACTGGGTGAACAGTAAGTGAATGACCTGGTCAATGTCATTAGTTACCTAATACAGGTCACAAAATTTGGCAACAAGAGTTTTGTTCTGGCACACAAGACCCGGTGCCTGGAGCTAATCCTGAACATATTCAGGCTAGAAGACTGCCTTTCAACATCTTCCTACCACAACTGTCTCTTAAGGGCTGCTGTGGATTCTTCAGAAATAGAAAGAAACAAACAAAAGTTTCTGTCCTTCCCATACTTACTTACTTGCTACAAATTCAGTTGAAATTGACTCAGGAAAGCCATATTAGACATAAGGTAATGCAAAACAAGCATAGTTAAGTAGTCTGTTTTTATAACTTGTGATACTTGAAAGCACCACTGAAGTGTTAACATATTGTGGCTTCTTCTGTTAGGTTTGTAGATATAGTGATTTTTGTTTTCAAGAGGGAAAACAAGATATCCTAAATGACTCAACGGTCACATTGTGAGTCAGTGGCAGGGAAAGGCTAAGAGCAGCAGAGCTTGGCTCCTATTTTCACATATAAACCACTATTCTAAGTCAACATAGCCAACTACGCAGCTGGAAGGAGGAGAGCAAAGAGCTGAACTCACCCTCAGTGCACATACAGTCATCATAACATTTGTTGTTAAGGCCTCGGTTGTGTGGTTTGCAGAGGTGTTCGCGCAAGTCGCAGCAAGAGCCTGTAACACAGGAACAAGGGTCAGCACAGCTCATTTACCCCCTTCCCTTGCAGGGCTACTGACACCCGTGACAGCTCCATGGTACAGATGTCATCTGTTCCCACAACACACCTCAAGAGCCTCTGCCCTTCCCTCTGCATACCTCTTCCTACCAGTATTAAAAATCAGGATACTTGTATTAGAACCTGGGCTGGATTTCAAACAATCTCATGTTTGGAGAAATGACTAGCAAGCTGATCCTGACCTGGGATGCAGTCAAGGTGATGATCACATGGCTCTCCTTCAGCCGTCACGGTTTCGTTTCCATTGTTGGGGCTCTTACTGCGGCGTTTCTCTATGGAAAAAAACAGAGGCTGATAGAAAATTTCATGCTTGTGTTTTTATTTTGGAGACTATATTGTTCCAGGGTAAAAACAGCCTCAAGCTTCAAGAGTTTGCACTCTCAACCTTCATAGTCTAATCTCCTCCCTATTTCTCAACCCTTCATCTATCATTTTCCCTCTGCCCTCAAACTATGCGTCCAAAATGAGAAACATTCTGAAACCAAGCACAAAACACAATCAGCATTATGCTTTTTCTCTCTTTCCCCACCACTATGATCTCACATCCTTCAGCACATCTGTGAACACTAACCACAGCACACGCTTTACAGAATTACTTTTGGGAAAGAAGACAGGGAAGTTTAGCACCTTTCTTTTTAGCAGATGGCCACAATTCTGGTTTGAGATCCTCATAATCTGTCCAGTCAAAGAGTGCCATATCTAGAGTGGGCATCACATCCCCATCTTGCCTGAGGCGGGCCTGCAAACCACAAGAAACCAAAGAGACAACCAATTACACTTCTGTAGTGGCAATGAAGCCTTTGCAATTTTTTCTGGAGCTTTTATACCTTAAAAAGGCTTTATGATCCCTCCAGCTAACGCAGCTAAAGGACCTGTTTATGATGTTTCGCTATCTCCAAAAGATAGAGCTGATTTTGAAGGAGGGCTTTGGTCTTTAAGCAAACACTTAACCTCTAACTGGGGAGGGGGGAAAGGTAAAAAAAGGAAACTGTACCTAATCTGCAGGAGATTTCTGTCTTCATGCAAGATACAGTGTGTACAGTGCAATTATCAGCTGTCTCTTTACCTGTGACCGTGGTGATGTGGCTGGAAGAACAGGAGGCTCTTCTGTGGAAACAGCGAGTTCCAGTGCAGTGTTGAGAAGTATGGTGGGAGTCAGACTTGTAGCTTCCTCTGCTCGGAGGTTTTGAAACTGTTCTTGAAAGCTTTCAGGTTTCTTGTACAGGGAGCTTGGCCCAGCATCAGGAGTCTTCCCTGCAGAGGGCAACAGGTACAGTAGCATTAGCTTTCTCATCTCTTTTCTCTCTTTGTGCCGTAGATTTGAGTTAAAGGAATTCAGATTTCATCCAGCCACTGGCCAATGTTCTGCCACCCTGAGCTGCTGTTTAGACCAGTGTAAAACAGAGTCATGTGCTGTTAAATTAGAGTGATAGATCAGGTCGAGAGTATATGCATCTTGATTTTTACAGACTTAAGTCATACATGATCACACCTTCTTGAAGATAGGTCTCTCTCTTGCTTAAGAGCAAAGGATTTTCTCTTCTGGTCTCAAGAGTAAAAAATGTACCTGTTTAACCATTTTTAAACCAATGGATTAAGCTGCTGCAAACACCTGTGAACATATTCTTATTTGATTTTAATAGTAGGTTATTTCAATTTAGCTCAAGTCAGGACCTACCTAACTTGCAATATGAATATCTTCACAGCCCGATCCTTGCTTTTCCTAAGTGTTAATTTAAATACAGACCTTAAGTTAAACCAAAGAAACAAGGCCTGTTTTGTAGTCTGCAAACATTGCTTCAGACCAGCTTTGTTGCACACTCTTCTATATTGCTTAACCTGAGTTGTTTAGTCAATCCCCTGAGAAAACAATAGAGCTCTTCTTACTGGTGCAGGGAGGAGTGATAGCTGGAACTCAGGGATACTGACACTCAGCTTGTCAAATAGTGCAGATTGACACAAATTGCCTGGCTTTAATAGAACTAAAGATTTACCACACTGAGCACAGCATACCAGAGACACACACCCACAACTTGACCTGCAAGGGAAAGCAGTTCCAGTCAAAAACAAGCAACATGTGAAAGAAATTAGTGCAATTTCACATAGCAAAATTTATATTTTTTGTAGTTTAGCATAAACATAGAAAAAAATAATCCTTGATTAGAAGAAACTAATCTTGAAGTGAAGTGGGGATTCTGTATTATTTCTAGTTCTGGTCATGTTTCAAAGTCAGTGGAGAGACTGAGCATGGCTTAGATATGTTTGTTCATAAGTGGGACCATTTGTTAAAAAAGCAAAAAAACAAAGCAGGCCACTCCAAACCCACCCCTCAAGTCCAAGGAACTTTCAGAGCTCCCCCTGTAAGGCAAACCAGGTCATTTTCACAAAATTGCATCCAGCAGGAAAAAACCTCTGGTTCTGGAGTGCCCCTTTTTTCTTGTGCCTCTTTTGTTTGGCAGATTTCTCCCCAGAGCAGGCACACATCCCACACCCTCCACACACCCATGTGGCTCAACCACAGCTTCGTCTCCCTGCCCTCACACAAGTGACACTCATTAAAAGTGACCCAACAGCTTCAGCTTCCCTCGGAGCTCAAATACCTCTGTGGTGTTTCAGCCTGTCCCTGCGGCTGTGTCGCCGATGTTCTCGGTTCTGCTTCTTTCCTCTCTCAGACCCAGGGGACTGGTTCTCCCTCTCAGGATGTGGGAACTCAAAACCCAGGAACACATCCTTGTTCTGTTTCAGGGCTGCTGGCTGTCCCTCTGCTGTGGGCTCTTCTACAGCCGGAGCTCCACTACCCACTCTGAGGGCCTCTTCCCCAGCTGGCCGCGCTCTAGAAGGCATGGCATGGACTCTCTCCTTCTTGGCCAAGCCATGCTTGTGGTGGTGCCCGCTTCTGGGCTGCTGCAGCCACATCTCTTGGTTTTGAAGATGATTGTTGTTTTCTGGGACATTTTTGAGCTTTGTGCCAGGATCCAGGGAGACTGCGAGAGTGATGTCAGAAAGAACCAGCACACACAGGAAAAGGAAAGGAGAGAAGAAGGTGGAAGGAGTTGCCATAATCCTGGGTGCTCTGCCTCACCTGCAATTAAAAAAATAAAATAAAATAAAAAAATCAACTTCTAGGAACTGTAAAGGCAAGCAAGACTCAAATCCAGGACACTTAGATGAAAATAGTTATGGTGTCCAGAGCTGGAAGTGATATTTTTCCCTCCTTGGTTACCTCCTTCTCTGCCAGCCCCTAGTTACAGCATCCGAGACACACGTGTAGGGCCTGCAGGGCTAAGAGGTCCCAGTTTCATGTGCAAATGAGGGCCATCAATCAGCAGGACATTTCCCTTTGATTCCTGACTAGCCCCCCTACCCTCCCATTCACAACCTACCATCTGAGGGTTGGGGAGGCTGCAGGCCACAGCTCCTGAGCCGCCTGCACAGAGCCAGCTGTCTGGCTAGGGCTGTTTGCTGCCAGGTTGGCATCCTGGGCCTGGCTGGCACTGGCCTCTCCTCTCAGCTGGTTTCCTTGCAATGAAGATGTCAAGATGAACAGAACTGGAGGCAGACGTCGGCCTCACAGGACCAGCAACAGCCCTGAGCAGCTCAAGACAGAGAGATATGTGCGTGCACACACATACTGCTTCAGGGTGGCTGAACTTGATCAAGGGAAGAAAAAACACTGAAAATTTTGTGCTGATACCTCACAGTGTAGCAGAGACACAGATCTTCTGCTGTCATAAAGATCAAGGGGCAGGGAGGCAGACTGAGTTTTCTCTAGTTTGTCCCACTTTCCCTCCTTGACCCTGCACAGGTCACTTCACCTCACCCCACCAGGTGAGACTGTCACTGGGAGGGTAATTTAAGTCCAAAGAACAGAAACTGAGTCCCTCAGCACAATGGCTGCAGAATATTCTCATTCACCCTGCTCCACTGTAATATTTTTGAGGGTCTTCCTTCATCCCTATGTTTATGTTCTGAGACACAGCTTCGGGACATTGCACAAGTCAGACATTTCTCTAAGTCATTCTCCCCTGTCCTTTCCAACAAAAAGGGGAAGGTATTTTCAGCATTTCCAGTGCAGCCTTTCACTTTGGGGTAGCTTTCTCAGATTGTGCCTCTCAATCTAGGCAGCATGAAGACATGCTTAAAGCCAGAGTTCCCTGTGACAATGTCAGAAAGCCAAGCCTATGCTTACCTTTGAGAAATACTGTCACGAAGTTAGAACCACAGCTTTTCACTCAACCTTCTCCCCATCTTTGCTGCACCTCAGCCCTCAGTTGCAGCTGACTTCCATCTGTCTGTTCACCAGGATGAACCACTTTGCTGCATAATTACAATGGCTTGTACTACCTCCCAGTGACCAGCCAGTGTCACCTGTGAAGGGCAGCAGGTAACACCCTTTGAGGCCAATCTCAGTCCTTTTTGTGGAGCTGACAGGAGGCACCCTAAGAATGGCCTGGGTTCTTCCTTTCCTCTTACCTTTCAACCCATGAGACAGATACGAAGTGTTTTGAGGCAGTGAAATCTCTGCCATCATAGCAGCCCCAGCCTCATGAAGCATCTGGGGAGTTTAAAGGGAGATGTCTTCATCCTCTTAACTGAAAATTGTTCATTCACCAGCTCATTCTGCCTTTCCAAGATTCATCTCTGTTATTGCTCAAAGCCTGGGAGCAAATTTTCAGTTCAGCCCTCCCCTGAAAGGGGTAGGCAGCACAGGAGCCTTCTCTTTAATGCAGTGTGTGAATAGCAGGTCTTTCTACTGGCCACAAAGGACAGCAAGGACTGATGTAGGAGGTGCTGGGTAGTTCATTTGCTGAAGGCATAACACTATGAAAGAGTATTTTATTGGCAGCTACCTGGGACAAGGGAAAACCAGACCAACAGCTAAATCTGTTAACAAAGCACATGCTTCAAAACCAATGGAACAAATAGCAACCAAGCAAAACCCAAGCTCTGCATCCATAGTCTGTTTTTTCCTAGGATTTCCTCTTTAAGAACCAGAGCAAGCCAGCTGGATCAAGGCATCGCTCAGAACAACGAAAAAGAGCTGGAAACAGCATCTTACCTTTTCATCTGTAGGCAAAATGCCAGGAGGAGAGAACAAGTGCAAAGAGAATACAAGGCAGGTGTCTCCAATCTCACTCACACAGACACGGGCCCTTTGATGGTGAACTTGACAGACACATTAGCTGCAGATTCTGGTTTTCAGAGGGAGCTAGGAAGCAGCTAAATGCTGCAAGGCAGTTAAACAGAAGGTCTGCTTCAAAGTGTAGCGGGGCATTTACTTAAGCTGCCCAGCTGTCTTGTTGGCATGACACAGGATGAAAGTGCAGCTAGAGCACATGGGTTCCCACATCTCTGCTGGCTGAGAGGGCAGGCTAATGTGCTGTGTTACACTGTGAATCTTGCATTAATAGTGCAGATAAGCACCTGTACTGCACTGTTGTCAGGAGAGGTCCGAGCTGTTTGCCCAACCAAAAGTGAAACAGTGCCTTGGGCAATGCTGCTGTGCTAGAGGCACACAAGTCCCAGCCTTTTCTTAACTACTTATTTCTATCTTTAACTTCAGAAACCTTTTCTTACCTCCTCCATTTCTCTTACCCTTCAGAAGCTGTAAAATTCACACTTCCAAAAGGTAGTTAGATAACACAACAGCATCCCTAGTTCTCCTCAGCACTCAGGTTCCTCAGTGTCTGAGCACCAAAGTAAACACCCTTTCCTCTGTCAGGACCACAGTCCACAAAATAAGTCCATGCCAGCCCCAGACTTCAAGTAGGTAACACACTGCTAGAGGACCTCTTCTTGCAAAGGGTGAAATTCTGCCCCAAGACATATATATCCCAGGCAGGAAGAAGTCTGGCCTTGTAAGGAGATGCCTTTCCTAAATTGCTCTAAAGCAAACACATGTTAGAGTAAGTCCAGAATTCACCCTCTTCTTAGGGTTCATATATTAATAAGAGAAATAGCTGCAGTACTTGCCAAGTTAAGCTGTTCCTGCAGTTCTTCACAACACCAGACCTACATCCTCCTCACTCCACCCCATGCCTTGCAATTCCTTTATATACCCTCAGGATTATGAGCCACCTGCCTCTTGAGGTAGCAAATCTGCTGACTAACAAGAAAATGTGTAAAGCAAAGATAAGGCCTTAAAGGTACCCAGGGTGCAGGCTCAGGGCTGACGAGTGAGTTGCACTGCTGTCTCTCAGACACTATTTCTGATCATTTTTGGCTTAGTAG